TATAAATAATGTTGAGAATACCTTGACAACATTCGGTTGAAAGTAAATGTATAGTTTAACAATGCACACATGAAACCTTCAATATAACGTATAAAAAAAAACCTGATAGTAGGGTGTCTTCTTTCACAGCATTCCCATCTTCCTATCCAGAACGAGAATCATCCTTGTAAATCTAGCTACAAGTAAGCTAGGCGGTTAGCTCAATGAGTCCACGATGAAACCGTTGAACTCCGGACGATATAACCCTCTGTGTACAACTGTTGAAATCCTGAGTCGCTACCCCCTGGGTAAAAATTGTTGTCGAATCCTGGGTTAACAACCCCCTGGGTGAAACCCTTAAAATATTACAAAGAAAAATGTCAATACACATTGACTCAAGTATCCCGAACTATAGGATTACCCAAAAATGTACATAAACTAGAAACTATTCAGCATCTAGGACAAAGAAAAATTACATTGGCTCAACAGTGAGTCATAAACAGTATTATGAGCTCAAATAATTAAAATTCTGTTACACCATGCCATAACATAAAAGAAATTGACAGCCACATGGTGCGTAACATAACTAAATATATACAAAACATACCTTTTTCGTAAAGGGTTAACTTGGTAGCCTTCCAAGGATGAGAAACACGTGAGATGATCCACAGCACAACAATATTCCACACTCCAAATGCTGTGAACTTCCAATTATTGCGTTAAAATCCTATAATAGATATGGGCTGGACCAATGACCATAGGAATTTACCAATACACTAAAATTCCTCTCAAAATACGAAATGCCCATTTACCCACAATTAACCATGAAGTAGAATCTAAAATCCCCTTTAATTAGGTAAGCCGATGAGGCTAAATATTAACAAAATTCTACTTCGACGCAAAATTCGTCCTTCTCGTGATTCAATACCCACTGACTAAAAAAATACGTCAGCCGTCCAAAATGGCCGAAATCCCTTTCCGATAAATGTCAAGCCAAGTGGGTTCAGAAATTCATCCTCAAGAATTCCCCACTATATAACTTAAGAGACCATTTACGAAAGGTACTCTAAAAACTATATTTATATACAGTATAACTACATTTGGGAAACTGTTCCCGACAAAAATTAATACAACAGCGATCGCAAAAAAATCCCTCACGACTTAAAATCGCTCATTGTGAAACTACCTTACCTCGGGTTCTGAGCCCGATATTGGAACGTACTACAAACATGACACTTGTCGGTGTTCTGTCGTCAAGTGACGTTTATGTCATTCACTGTCACAATTAAAAAATATTAACCTAATAACAAAAATAAGCAATGAAATTCTTAAAGAATGGTATCGTAAATAATTAATTACCCAAGGTGAGACTATAATACATAATATATATAAATTTACAACGAAACTTGGTCTATTTTTAGGAGAACTGCCATCCTTTTACTTAGTGGTGAGATGAAATAAATTGTAATAATGATGTCCGAAAGTTAGAATACAGGTGAAATTAGTTAATGACAAAAATAATAGTGATATCATCAATACGATTTTACCCTTTTTTTACGTATGATTAACCAGGTAAGCCAAAACAATTTTATTAATTCGTGTGGCCAAAAATGAACGTTACATTTTTAATCCTTTGATCAATTTAGCTGTTATAAATATATTTCACATTTTATTCGTCAGTCTCCAATTCTATACAACTATTTTGCACTACATGTTAATACAGAAAGTTAAAAAACAGCTGATTCACTTCTATTACACAAAACTTGTTGACAATGCTCTGGTGTTAATGTCAGACGACTCTACTTCAAGTAACTTAAAGCAAATCGGTTTACCTAAGGGCTGAACTACGTTGCTTGGAACAGATGCAAAAGACACCTGGTTTATGTTTTGGTAACGAATTTATTTGAGATAGACACTTTTAATTTGTATACCTGTTAAATTTTTTAAAAAAGTTAGTTACAATTAGTTCAGTTAAGATTTTTAACAAGAATATATATAATATCACAGGTTATTTTTTAACTGCTTCAGATAAACTGTTCCTCTGCGACTATTTATCTCCTAAATTGCTTATTAAAATTATGCGAGTGTTGTAATTTATATAAATACATTGACACTAATTGTGTATTAAATTAAATAATATATACATTCCCCCAAAATTTAATTATTAAACGCTTAATCACCTGGAGAAGCTCTCAAATACGATTTATAAATCTTTCGTAAACCTAACCATCGCATCCTCCAAAATTAATCACCTCTATTTTAATTAGTAGAAGCATTAGACATTGTATACAGCCGCGGAGTAGAGTAACTACCTTAACCGACTTGACGGCAATTTATTTACCGATTGTAAGCGCGGAAAGTCTGAATGAACGTCGCGATATTTTACTCAGTTTTCCTTCTCGAGGAAATTTTGAGGATGCGACCCAGTTTTCCAATGGAAGAAGCGATGTTGGGAATTTTTATTACCGCTTATGTATTTTCTGTTTTTTTTTTTAGTATATTGTTGCTCTATTTTACAAGAGGACCCGAAAAATGTTACCTTAATATTATACAGAGTGTAACATCCTAACTCTGGTTCCCGTCCGTAAGGTGGCTGGGTAACTGACGAGTCACCAAGTGCCTCTGCGGACGAGGCCAAATGGGAGAAGAAGAGGCGCGATTCTTGGCGCGAAAACGTGACAATTGACATTTTAGGATATGCGATTTGACAGTTTTGATTATTATATCTTTTGATTTTCCTGTTCACATTTTTATTAAAATTAAAATCTTTCTTTACAAGGAATCCCAAATTTTCTTGTAGCCAACCCTACTACAAGAGTCTTTAATAGTACCCGTATCCCACGTGACTAAATTTATCCTATCAGTTGGCTAAAAGCAACAATAATAACTTTGGAAATAACCCTAAAATAATTTCACTGGACTAAATGGCAAAACTGTTACTTAAGTTATAAAGATCTCTATAAACAGCCGTTTTCTATCAATATTATATCTTATACCTTATAGGTGGTCATTTTTATATTTTATGGAATATATCTGTTATTTACGTTTGCAGAAGAAAATTCTTCAAATAAAAGTTACTTCTAATATTATTATCTATAATTTTTGTTTTATACAAAATTTTCCTAAAATGGTCCATATTCGAGAAATTTGACAAAATGAAAAAAATATTTTTTTATAAAAATTTTTCAAATAAAAGTTGTTTGCAATATAATTCTCTATAATTTTTATTATATACATAATTTCTCTAAAATGGACCGTATTCGAGATATTCGAGAAAATGTGTAAATTTCGAATTTTGAAGAAAACTCAAAAACGGATAAAGAAAAAAACATTAAATTTTAAACTTAAGGTTTATTTCGGCCTGACGTGAAATGATTAGATTTTGGACATAGTCGGAACATCTGGGGGGGTACTTTATGGGAGGCCACTTTTATATTTTATGGAATATATCTGTTATTAATGTTTGGAGAAAAAAATTGTTTAAATAAAAGTTACTTCTAATATTATTATCTATAATTTTTGTTTTTTGTAAAAATTTCCTGAAATGGTCCGTATTCGAGAAATTTGACAAAATGTGCAAAATTCTGATTTTTATGAAAGTTTTTAAAATAAAAGTTGTTTGCGATATCGATCTCTATAATTTTTGTTTATGCATGATTTTTCTAAAATGGACCGTAATGAAAAAATTGTAGGAAATTTAAATTTTTCAGTATTTTCGTTTTCCATGAATATCTATAGAAAAATGTTTCGAGGTAGATGTATGTGGGCAATGTATATATTTAGTTTATCCTCTAAACATTTATAGAGATGCTGTAATAGGTTGTACAAAATAACCGGAAAAAGCCTACAATAACTAGATAGGAAAGTCATGTGTTGGACACATCAGATTTTTATTAAAGTGTCTTTCTTAATTTGCTTGAAATAAAAAGCAATAAATTATCATCTTCATCTAGAAAGTCAACAAATTCGCTCTCAATGCACAATAAAGCTAAATTGCTAGTCTTCGAATCAGATAAACCATTTCTTAAATAGTTCTTGACTCTACCTCTCCGGTAACATTAGTTTTTATCTAACCGATTTTCTTGAAAGATAAATCTATTTTTAGTGATGAGAAACGATGTACCTAAAAAGGTATGTGCGTGTTGATCGATAATTATTAGTGTTATAATATATGTATCAAATATTTTCAAAAATTATTGAAAAATTATCTATCACGTGATGTAAGAATTTATTTTGTAAACTTTTATCAAATATATTTTTCTGCTTGAGGTCATATGTCATCTAATTAAAAATAAAAGGAAAGCTGTACACAATATGTTAAAATAAAGAACAAAAAATTGCAGTTTATATAAGTAAAAACAATCTCTTGAGAACTCTTGTTTAAAACCAAATACAAATAAATTAATGCGATGTTAAAATTATATTTTTACCATCCAAATCCAATTTTTTTATTAAAATAATCTTAATATTTTTCATAATTTGAATCTGAAGACATCATCACAATATTTTTTCTATATCAAAAAAATATACAAACATCTGGTGCTAATATTTTCCAGTCATGCAATTGAGATAAATCCCTTGTCTTTGTAACTTTTCCTAGCAAGAAATCGGTCTTGAACAGCCGTAAATTAACCCTAATAAAATAGAGATTTAGCTCCAAACTGCTCTTTAATATTACATCACCCATAAAAGGGCTAATTACCCTCAAATTGGGTGACGGGGGCCTTAGATCCCGATTTGATGAATACTTCTTGCGGTCGAAACATTTGCTCAACTCCAGAAGTTAGTGCGTCGGAAAATATATTAAGTTGGGACCACTTCTGGCAAAGTTTTGGCTAGTTAGTGACAAACTGGTTTATTTATGGAACCTCTTGAATGGAGTTATAAATACAACTACCGCAAGTGTGCAGTTGATAAAACATTTGCATATAATCGCCCTAAATAGAAAATGCACATTTTCTCATAGGATTTATATTTTTATATTTAGAAATATATTTTATTAACTAATCTAATTTTGAAAGGAAGGTTTTTTATATAATTTTTATTTTGGTTGTACATTACAAAAAAACTATAAATTTACAAATTTTTGCGATCGACATCTATTTTATTTTCCAAGGATTTGGACTGCTATGCTTAGGATAACTTAATAATAGGTTTATAGCTAAATGTTATAATAATATTTTGTTTAATACATTGATAGCTATTTTGTTGTTATTTCTGACTATGTAGAGGTTATTATATGTGGATTATTTTTTAATTATACATGTTTATAATTCTGCTCCACATATTTCTCTGACAGTAATTATTTTTAATCTTATTGTCCATATCCAGAGGTATTTTCATTAAATACACCGATATTTATATTATGTAATATTTTTGATATATCCAGTGTTTCTTAATTTTACATCCATCTACCATTTTCTTGTTTTTAATCTAATTCGAACTCCATTTGTGCTTTTCAACACAGTTTCTGACACAAAATGCAATGTATGCTTAGGAATAGTCGGTAAAATTTCAAAGTTTCTTAATAGCTTGGACACTATACTTTTCATCTCCAACATGGCGAATTTCTGACCTAAAATTATAATAATACTAACTATAAAAAAATGTTAAAAAGATATGTAGAAAAATTTTTACTATTTCAATTGACTAATATTTGTTTTTTTAAATATTTTTAACTTTTTATTACTTGTAAACTTTGTTCATTTTACAATTTATTTCACCCCACATTTGATGAAACTTGTTTTGTAGTATTCCCTAGTGGATGGAGAGTATGGTGAGTTTTCTCTTTTTTACTATTTTATATATCGTTTGCTCTAAGTGTTAACACACCTTACACCACATATTTTCCTTTCCACTAGGCGAGCCTGAAGATGAAGTGATGACACTTCGAAACCGGTCGCACTCAATGTTTTGTTAAATAATTAAACATTGACTTTCCTTGTGCGATATAAAGGACTTTTTCTCCCCCTTCACCTTAAAATTACCTCAACTCACACATGGCTATCCCCCTTGTCAATATGTAGAACATTTATGAAAAATATTAGAAAATAAAATTTAAATTTGATAATTTTTCTTGAATATTCTGTAAATGTGATTTTTATATTTGTTGAATCCTAAATATTTTAAATATTAACAAGACAATCGTTTCCTAAGGCCATTATTTAGATTTTAGAACATGCTTTTTAGCATCGTTGCCATTCTTAAAATGAACAAAATTTGAACCAAAATGGAAAAGTGATAAATATGCATATATATCCTTTAAAACAGTGTTCGCCAACCTCTCAATGTGTTGAACTACCACAGTTAATTTATCATTATATGTATTTATTTTACTATTTAACTGGTAATACATAATACATAGGTACTAATAACAAAATAACTAATATTACTAGTATGTACTTGTTCATAGCTACATTCCTATCTACCAAACGAAGGTGTTTGAAAAATAAACACAAACTTTTATCCAGTCACAACGTAAAATTTAAAAATAGTTAATAATAACAACAAAAAAGTAACGCACTATCATGAGAAGGCTGACATTCAGACTTCATATTGGAAAAAGAAGATTCACACAAATAGGTTGAACTGAATAATGCTTTCACTTTCAAGGCAACACGGCATAGAACTGAATATTTGTCTTTACTTACAATAGGCCAGATACATTTGGTACTTGAGACTAACGATTTTAAGGCTAAATCATTTTGAAACTCAATTACTTCCATTTCTGTTGCAGCGATGTCTTCGCCAAAGTTCTGCATAACACAAGTTGCAAACTGTTGGATATCAATTTCCATAAAGGGTGAAACAACAAACTGCGCTACTAAAGCCATTTCGTTGAAATCCTTAAAACGATTTTTGAAGTTATTCTTCAGGGTAGAAACTATTTCTACATGATATTTGCTGTCATAGGGTTCTAATGGATTTTGAGATATTGTTTCTGAAAGAATAGGAAAATGCTTGGCATCGCTGTTAATTAGGTTTTGTTCCCAAAACTCCAGCTTTTTGATAAATGCTTTTATATCAGAAATCATTTCCGCTTGTTCTTTGTCTCTCCCCTGAAGCTGCAAATTAAGTTTGTTTAATTTCTCTGTAATGTCCACGAGAAAACCAAAATCTCTAAGCCAGATTGAATTTTCTAGTTCTGGAGTCGGTTCATCGCGTTGTTTGAAAAATTGAACTATGCCAGATAGGACATCATTAAAACGTTTCAGCACCCGTCCTCTACTTAACCATCGAACTTCAGAGTGAAGGAGTAGGTCTCCGTATTGACAGTCAACTTCATCGGCCAAGGTTTTGAATAATCTTTGTAACGCTTGAGCTCTAATCTTGTTCACAATTTTTACCACCAGTTTAATAACTTTGTTTAGTTTCAGGAAATTTCCACATAATGCTTGCTGATGGATAATGCAGTGGTAACAGAGAAATTGCGGAAAAGTTTCATCTTTACGACATAACGCCACCAGACCCTTATCACAACCCACCATAGCTGGAGCGCCATCGGTTGTCAAGCCTACCATTTTCGATATAGGAATTTTCTCGGAAGAAATAATATTTTTTAAAAGAGAAAACAACTCCTGTCCAGTAGTGTGTCCTTACAGTGGAATAAACTTCAAAAGATCTTCTTTAATCGTAAAATCACTAAAACCCATCCTGACGAAAAAGGCCATCTGGGCAGTGTCAACGACATCTGTTGATTCATCCAGTTGAAGTGAAAAATAAACACAGTTATCTAAGTCAGTTCTTAACTGTAAAAAAATATCATTGCTCATTAATTCTACACGTCCCATCACTGTCTTAGCAGAAAGTTGCATAGATTTTATAGCTGAAACTATCTCGTCTTTATTTCTAAAGTTGGCAAATAACGAATCAGCAGCTTCTAAAAACGCCTGTTTCATCATTTCCCCGTCTTCATAAGGTTTCTTTTTTGTGCAATTATCTGGGACACACGGTACGATGCTTCAGTTGCAGCCTTATTTTTGTGGACTGTTCTTAAAAATATTGATTGTTGTCCAATTAACTGCTTCTTTAACTGTTTCAGTTTCTCCTTTCTGGCGGCAGAATGTAGTGGGAATGATTTTTCAAAATTAGAATGTACAGTTTTATGATGTCTCTCAATATTTCCTTTTTTAGCAATGGAGACCGAAGTATTACATAACAAACACACATTTTTATCTTTAACTTCTGTAAAAAAGTATTGTTCTTCCCATTCCGAATGAAAGTGGTATGTCTTTACCTTCTTACAACTGCTTGCCATAATATTATTTTTTGTTGTTCTCTACTAACCCAACCGCTGGACGTTGGTTACGCGTTCAGTTTTAAACTAAGCGCAATGTCGCCGCGCCGTGCGTATTTATCCTGTTCAAAGCAATCCTGATCGTTCTCGAACACTAACGCGCTGGTCCGGCTGGTCGGTTCTAGCCGCTGTTTATGTTTAATATTATGACAATTAGATTTTTTGTGGAATTTTCGGAAGCTTCTCTGATTTTTGCAGTTTGTATTTTTTAAATTAAAATCGTTGTGAGAGCTACCAGAATTGCCTCCGCGAGCTACCGGTAGCTCGCGATCGACAAGTTGGCGACCACTGCTTTAAAAGAAGGCAGACCTCACCCTATACCTCGAACTCATTGACATAACGCCTACCAGCTATGGTGTGCAACTACGTGGGCAGTTTGTTTGAGCCCGCTTTCCTTAAGACCTTGGTTAATTGAAGATATCGATACACAATAGTAAACCTGCTAAGTTGCATCTCTGCCCATAATAAACGTTCTTTTAACTGATGGCTGTTGGTCTCAAAAATCATTTAATTAATATTTTATTTGGTCACATTTGTATGTTATTTTTTTACCACATTTTATTATTAAGTGCTAAGTTTACACCTTTTGTATGCGACTGAGTTACTTCACACTCACTTCCACTACTGCCATCCATTCCTAATTAGCTATAATAATTTATATAAAATTAAAATGACAGTTCTCTTCTAGATTTTTTGACATTGCATTGCTGTTATTAAAATATTTAGGTAAAAAAAAACAAAGAATATTTACCAACACAATTTCGAGGACCTAAACTAAAAGGAACGAACTTATAAGGTCGTTTTCCATCGAGATTTTCAAATCTGGTAGGATCAAATTTTTCAGGATCAGGATAGTAGTCGGTGTCACGATGCATTCCGTAAGGGAATATGTAGATATCGAGTCCTTTTGGTAGAAGATTGCCTATAAAATAAAGTCAGATTATTTTCATAATTTTAACATTATTTATCTCATAAATAATAAATACGTAATACGTAAAAGTATAAAGGGTGTTTCAGAATAAAGTACCGTAAACTTGTAGATCATTCTACAGGATTTGGTATCAATATCACAAAAGCAGATTGGTCATTATTTCAAAAAACTATCTCTGCAAATATTCCAGAGCAACGCTCGCTCAATACCCTACAGGACGTCAATACACTGTCAACGAAATTCCAAACCACGCCGTCGAAACTTCAGCTCCAATTACTTCCATCAACACATCACAGAAAATTCCTCATTCTCCAAAAAAACGCCGATTTTATAGACAATATACCCGTACCCAAGACCCTGTCATCAAAACCGAATAGAATTATCTCACCGCTCTGGTCAATACCACCTCTTATTTGAATAATAGAGATGGTTCCAAGTATTGGACAAATTCCAATTTGTCACTGGTTAAAAATACAAAACTCAGTCCTACATTGAAATCGACGGTGTTACCAACACAACTCCCAACGAAAAAGCCTTAGCTCACAAAACAAACCTCAAAGCCATCTTCAGAACTCCTACTTTGATGACCAATTCTGACACGAGACTTAACACAACGTTCTTTAGACACCTCCTCCTTTGGATGTCAAACACCGCTTCACAGCTTCATTCATGAGCTCAAAATTCAATTATGGCATACTAAGACTCCAACAAGATGCATCTGAAAGCTTGGTTCCTTGGAGTTCTGTGTCTAGTGCACGAACTCATCAAACTAGAGAGATGCCTACTCCAACATCCCCATCTCAGCTCGTTTTCGACTCTTCATGAAACATTACCTCTCTCCAACTCAAACGGGCTCAAATATCTACGCCTTAAACATCCTACACACCCTTGGCAACCAATCCACCAACACCTTGCTTCAGACATTGCTCCAAAAGCTATAGAATAGGTTATAGGTTAGTTAGGACATTAGTAATTTTAACAATTATGTAAATCAATGACAGTGCTACTAGTACATCCCCTCTCCTCGGTGTATTGGTTTCCAAAAGACATTAAATCGCATAGGATCAAAAAGCTCAGCATTATTGATACAGTTATTGTACCAAGTTTCTGTTGGAAAGTATCTTGCATATTGAGCAGTAATTAAAGAGTGTGTTTTTGAACGAAGACCACGTATATTTTGGTAGTAAAAAAAAAGTTTGGTTTGAAGAAAATGAAGAAATCACTTTTTATCATTTAAACTACAATAATACTATAATAATACGAGGCACGCGTATTATTTTGAAGGGTTTATCAAACCAGAACACACCAATATTCGTCTGGTATTTAAAAATAAACAAATTATAACATTTATAATAATCGCCTTCAATTTTATATGGTCCTCTCTTAGGCTAATCGTTTATGGAATCATCAAACTTTAAGATGGTGTTGAAAGTGATTAAATAAATACAGATTCCGATATATAATAGAGCGTACGGTGAACAGAGTAGTAATTTATATTACCTTTATAATAAACATCTTCTCTCAGCTGTCGACCATACAAAGGCACAGAAGGACATAATCTAAGAGTTTCTTTAATAACACATTCTAAATATTTCATCATTTGGAGATCATTTAAAGTTGATTTTCTATTTATATCATCACCAAATATTGCTTTTTGCTCTTCCATTGCTTGTTCCTACAATGTAAACATCTACATATTTATTAAAATCACTTTCAAGTTCTAAATATTAATCAGATATGGGATTAGGATCTATGGAGCATAAAAACTAAAAGAAGAAGATAATATAAATTTAATAAACTCTTACTTGAACGTCTGGATTTTCAGATAAAAAGTATACACAAAAACTGATGGCTGATGCAGTGGTATCGTGTCCCTGAAAGGAAAATTCAATTTATAACCGATTGTTAATATCATTAGTTATGGAAGGTTTAACAATTTAGTTTAGTTTACTAGTAACCATACTAAATTTTAACACTAGTAATCAATAGCGTTGCCTTCAAGTATGTACATTATTCTATAGTTCATAGATGCAGCATCTAAAAGTTTTTATAGTGTCAAATTGTTTTAATATTTTCTACTGTTACTAAGGTATGATTTATATATTTATCTCCCAATCTGAATGCCTATTGTTTCACTTCGATAAGTGAACTCCTTTTGCTCTTTGCATTCCTCAACTAACTTCAGTCCATGGCTATATAAGTTGTTATTTGCAAAACAGACAACAAAGTGTATATTACAGGAATAAACTTAGTAAGTAAACCTTTATTAATAAAAAGAGGTGTTCCACAAGGATCCGTACTAGGCCCTCTATTATTTTTAATATATACCAATGATCTTCCATCATATATGAATTGGATAGCATTAATCAGAAAGACAACAAATAACACAATGTTAGAACTGAGAAAAATGTGATTAAAGAAATAATGAAGAAGTTTGAGAAATAAGAAGAATATAAGAATAGAAATGATAGAAAGAATAGATGAAGTAGAAAAGGAACAAGATGAAGTAGAAAAGGAACAAGATAAGAAATATAAAATAATAGGAAACGGTGAAGATTAAAAAAAAAGGTTTATATAGTGACAGACAGTGTCACTTGTTTTTCCCCAATCAAATATTCTATATAATCATACATTTTGACCAAAGTCATATCTTGTGAAAGAAATTCAGAATCGGTGTTACCTCGCCTGTAATGCGACTTGTAACGTGGAAGTTTATTGATGTATTTTTTGATACCTAGCTACGCCGACCGGCATTAACACTAACGGCCTCATCTACTCTGACAAGACGTTTCGCGTGTATATAACTTTTTGAATTGCGTACAAGTTAGCGTGTACCTAGACACTGTGTTAATATTTTAATATACCTTAATTCTTTTACTATGTATGAGTTGATTGATAAAAAAAAACTTACTGCAAACATAAATGTGTCCACCTCTTCTCTAATATCTTCATGAGATAATGGTTGTCCATCAACTCTTGTATTTAAAAGAAGATCCAAAAAAGCCATTTTTTTCTTTAATCCATATTCGTTTAAATCTTCTTTGTCTTCATCAGTAGAGCAAGTCAGACTTCTTTCTTCTATCACAGCATCAGTTACGTCGTGTAATTGTTTTATAGCTCTTAGTTCACGATAATAATCTGGTGTTAGTGGATATAATAAATTGGATTTTTTTATTATTGACGTTGCTCGTATCATTCCTATTTTACACATTAATTGTACATTTTGGACGTACTGTGAGTTTTCGTTTATTTGGGCATTAACTTTTACTCCCATTGCCGTTTCTATAAAAACCGTTAAGATTATAAAAAAATGTAATTTTTTAGCCTTAAAATGGAACTTACCACATATAACATCTAGCGTATACAAAGTGATAAATCGATCAATGTTAATTTTATCTTCGTCGATATGTTTTTTTAACTTATTTATAAAAATGTTTCCGTTTGAGTCAAATACTTCCAAAAAATTCTCTAATATGGAAAAATTAAATGAAGGTGCAATAATGCGTCTCCTTGATTTCCATTTTGAACCTAAAATAGTGAAAACTTGCAATTTCTCTTTATTCTTTGAAATTCCTTGAAATTCATGAAAATTAAATTCCTTAAAATTTCTTTAAATTCCTTTATATTCCTTTAAATTCCTTAAATTTCTTTAAATTCCTTTAAATTCCTTAAATTTCTTTAAATTCCTTTAAATTCCTTTAAATTCCTTTAAGTTCCTTTAAATTTCTTTAAATTCCTTTAAATTCCTTTAAATTCCTTTAAATTTCTTTAAATTTCTTTAAATTTCTTTAAATTTCTTTAAATTCCTTTAAATCCTTTAAATTCCTTTAAATGCTTTTAAATTCTTTAAATTCATTTAAATTATTTTAAATTATTTTAAATTATTTTAAATTATTTAAAATTTCTTAAAATTCCTTGAAATTCCTTGAAATTTCTTGAAATTACCTAAAACTGCTTAAAAATACTTAAAATAATTGGAAATTATTTGAAATTATTGGAAATTACTTGAAGTTAGTTGAAATTGCATGAAATTTCTTAAAATTACTTAAAATTGTTTAAAATTACTTAAAATTAATGGAACTTACATAAAGTTAGTTGAATTTAGTTAAAAATACTTGAAATTATATGAAATTACACGAAATTATTTGAAATTACTTGAAATTACTTGAAATTACTTAAAATTACTTGAAATTACTTGAAATTACTTGAAATTACTTAAAATTACTTCAAATAACTTCAAATTACTTCAAATTACTTCAAATTACTTCAAATTACTTCAAATTACTTCAAATTACTTCAAATTACTTCAAATTACTTCAAATTACTTCAAATTACTTCAAATTACTTCAAATTACTTCAAATTACTTCAAATTACTTCAAATTACTTCAAATTACTTCAAATTACTTCAAATTACTTCAAATTACTTCAAATTACTTCAAATTACTTCAAATTACTTCAAATTACTTCAAATTACTTCAAATTACTTCAAATTACTTCAAATTACTTCAAATTACTTCAAATTACTTCAAATTACTTCAAATTACTTCAAATTACTTCAAATTACTTCAAATTACTTCAAATTACTTCAAATTACTTCAAATTACTTCAAATTACTTCAAATTACTTCAAATTACTTCAAATTACTTCAAATTACTTCAAATTACTTCAAATTACTTCAAATTACTTCAAATTACTTCAAATTACTTCAAATTACTTCAAATTACTTCAAATTACTTCAAATTACTTTACTTTAAATTACTTTAAATTACTTCAAATTACTTCAAATTACTTTAAATTACTTAAACCTATTTGAAATTACTTTAAATTACTTGAAAATACTTGAAAACACTTGAAATTACTTGAAATTACTTGAAATTACTTGAAATTACTTGATATTACTTTAGATTATTTGAAATTGTTTAAAATTGTTTAAAATTACTTAAAATTTCTTGCAATTACTTGAAATTACTTGAAATTACTTGAAGTTACTTGAAATTACTTGAAATTACTTGAAATTACTTGAAATTACTTGAAACTACTTGAAATTACTTGAAATTACTTGAAATTACTTGAAATTACTTGAAATTACTTGAAATTACTTGAAATTACTTGAAATTACTTGAAATTACTTGAAATTACTTGAATTTACTTGAAATTTCCAGAAATTTCTAGAATTTTATTAAATTTCTTGATATTCCTTTAACTTTCTTAAAATTGTTTGAAATTTTTTGAAAATCCTTGAAATTTCATAAAATTTCTTGAAAATGTATTGAAAATTCCTTAAATATTTATTGAAAATTCCTTAAAATTTACTAAAATACCCTAAAATTCCTTGAAAATTACTTGAAATTCCTAGAAAGTTCCAGAATTTTATTAAATTTCTTGAAATTCCTTGTACTTTTTTAAAATTCTTTGAAATTCCATGAATTCTTTTGAAAATTCTTAAAATTCCATTAAATTTCTTGAAGATTCTTGAAATTCCTTAAAATTCCCTAAAATTCCTTGAAATTCTTAAAATTCCTTGGAATTCCTTGAAATTCCTTGAAATTTTTTTAAATTACTTGAAATTCTATTAAATTTTTTGAAAATTCTTGAAATTCCTTAAAATTCCCTAAAGTTTCCTAAAATTCCTTGAAATTCCCTAAAATTCCTTGGAATTCCTTGAAATTCCTTGATATTTCATTACTTTGATTAATAATAATTAGCAATAAAAAATAATAGTTAATACTTTTTTTACAACCTACCGCCTCCAATAAGTAGACCAGTTCCCAACCATTTCCGATAAAACTTGTAATCTGCAGATTTGTGTAAAATATTTGGATTGCTTAAAATAAATTCAGTAAAGTCGTAATCTGCTACCATAAGATTAGGTACACCAGCAATTTTCAATAGTATCATTTTTTCCTTTTTCGGTATAAGTTTTATCAACGTGCTCAATACATCTATAAAATAATATTGTTTTTAACTAATGATAGATGGTAAATGGTAAACGGTAAACGATAATCGGTAAACTGTAAATGGTAAATATATAAATGACTTTCTTTGCACGTTTATATACACAAGTGCCTCTTAAGGGCAATGTACCTAAATTAAATTGTATTCAAACCTTACCGGTTAAGTCCTTAAATTCTAAGCTGTTTCCTATTATTGGCCATCCCGGTTTAGGAGGCAACCAGTCAAACTGTTGCAGATATTTATAATTTCTATACCACTTGTATAAACATAAAGACAATAGCACGCATATTACACTCACTAGCACATTACACATCGCGCGTCAGTGAATCACCAACTCTCACTGACTTTGAATTGACTGAATTGAATCATTGAACGTTGGCCTGCCTACCGAAGAAAATATTTTTAATCAGATAATAGTTGTTTACTTTCATAAAGATATCGTAATATTACAGATAGTTTTTAACCACAGATAGCAACGGACGCTTTAATAAAAATCTTCAGAACAAACTGAAAAGTGTTAATCTGTTCAGATTTTGTTTTTTACGGCAATAGGATCATTTACAAGTCTGGTAATTCCTACGGGGTTGAAGACCTTTAAGGTTACATCGTGGCTGGGGCAAGCAATCTTGACCACTGTTTTGACCTGACTCACGTTTAAAAACATTTAGTAGGTAGACGACAAATGTGATGCATTTAATTAGGAATGGATGAAAACAAACATTAATTATAAGTAATAATATAAATGGACTATAATTTAATATATAATCTGTAAAAGGTCTTTACAAAAACATACCAAAATAAGTCGATTTAAGTAAAATTACCTTAGTACAAAGTTGCTTCGTTTGGACTCCAGAGGGCCTTGAAGTTACAATTTTTAAATCGTTTTTCCCATATAAATTTAAAACGGCATATGCGATTTTGCTGAAATTTGGTATATTGGTAGAGTTTTATGTGGCAAAAAAAATGGTATTAAAATTTTGTCCGATAATAATACATAGGCGTAGAACTTGATTTTTTAAATAATTGCACCTTTAAAAATTCTACGCCAATGGAAAAAAAGGAGTTTGAGTATGAAATTTAGATTGCGCAACTCATTTACTTTAAAAAAGGTACTCTTGATAAGACTCGATTACTCTCATGGTTTTCGCTAAATTTCTGTTTTAATAATTTAGAGTGTATAGGTTTCACAAAAATATTTATTTACAACATAATCAAAATAGAGATTTTACAAAAATTGTTAAAAAATGTTCACCATTTTCACGCATACAAAGATTTATACGTCGAAGAAAATTAAAATGTATCCTTTCCATAAATTCTTCATCACCTCTAAGATTGTTTATTGCATCTTGAATACGTTGCCAGAGTTGTTTCTTATTTTCTACAGGTTCCCTGTAAACTGTGGATTTCAGATGTCCCCATAAAAAGTAATCCATCGGTGTTAGATCTGGGGAACGTGGTGGCCAGTTTACAGGTGCGTCATTACCTCTGCCTATCCATTTGTGTGGATATTGTTCATTCAAGTGGTTTCTAACGATTAAAGAAAAATGTGGTGGAGCTCCATCTTGCATAAACCACATATCTCTCCGAAGTTGGAGAGGTAAATCTTCTAACAATTCTGGCAACGTATTTTGTAGAAAATCCAAATAATTTTCTCCAGTTAATCTTCGTGGAAGTATGACAGGACCAACAATGAAATTACCAATTATTCCAGCCCACACATTAATTTTGAATTCGTGCTGAAAATGGTTTACCTTTATTGCATGCGGATTTTCAACGGCATAAACATGTTCATTATGGGTATTAGTTATACCTCTTCTTGTAAAACCCGCTTCATCGGTAAAGAGAACCTTCTTGACAAAGTTTGGATCTCTTTCTCTTTGCATATTAACAAATCGACAAAAACCCAAACGAATTTGAGGATCGTGGACTAATAATTCTTGTACTGGCTTCTTATGGTATGGATATAGCAATTGTTCTCTAAGCACTTTATGAACGACATCTTTACTTACTCCTAGTTCCCTTCCAATTCGTCTGGTGCTTAATTCTGGATCTTCTTCAACACGTTCTAAAATGTCTTCTTCAACTTCAGGAATCCTTATAAAACGTTCTCTTCCATTATCAACAGTATTGGGAGCAAAGGAACCGGTCTCCCGAAGACGTCTCTCAACAGCAGCAAAAGTTGGGTGGCTAGGTACACGACGATTTGGAAACCTTTCAGAGTACTCTCTCGAGCATTTCCTTCACAAAATCCTAATGACAGTAACATATCGGTATATTCTGCATTGGTATATTGTAGAGCCATATTAATAAACCACGCATTTGTTTTTTTAATTATTGAGTCAGATAGAACACTTTCAATCGTTAACAAGAGATTAGGTGTTAAAACTTGATATTTTTATTTAGATGAAACTATGGAAATCAACAATGAATGTTTTTGTATACGTATTGAAGGCAAATAATTAATATTCCTCAAAAAATCGTACATGGCAAGAATCGAGTATTTTTGTTAAAAGTCTCGATTAGAGGTGTTGAAGAAGATATGAAAAAAGTACATTTTTATGTTTTTCATCGTATAAAATTTTGTCCGATAATAATACATAGGCGTAGAACTTGATTTTTTAAATAATTGCACCTTTAAAAATTCTACGCCAATGGCAAAAAGGGGTTTGAGTATGAAATTTGGATTGGGTACTCATTTACTACAAAAAAGTACCCTTGATAACACTCGATTTACTCTCATGGTTTTGACAAAGTTTGTATTTTAATAATTATTGTTTATGTTCTAAAATTACTAATTATAATTACAATTAATCTAACATCAAACGAAAAAAATCATTTTAGGATGTCCTAATAGGTTTTAACTTAAAAACTAAATAAAATGTATATTGAAACTGTGTTTAAATAAATGAATGTTTTTATACCTGACTATAGCACCAGAAAAACATTTTTTTAGATCATAATGATCTGCATAACTCAAAATAGTCAAAATCCACATTATTTAAGTTGTTCTAGTAATGTTTTAGCATAACGATGTAAACTCCAATAATAAATATTCACATTTTTTTGGGACGTTTTTTAAGGAAATAAAAAAAAACATGAATAATGTGATATTCTTGTTTAGTTTTGTACTATATAATATAGTTCATTAGGTAGTGATTTAGAAGCAAATTATGTTCTATTTATAGAATAAAAAATCACTAATAATATCTAAATATTTATACTGTAAAAGAAATTCCGCACGCCCATGGTGTTCTAATTCCTAGAAAAGGCGTTCGTTGTTATCGACCGGTTTTTCACTGTTAATTTTCAAGTTCTTATCCCACTTCTGACAATTTGTAAGAAACAATTGAATAATTTCACTTAAAACAATAAAACAACCGATTTATAAATCCCAAATGCAAATTTTATTAACATCCAATTTGCCAAAATAACTACTGTAATACGTCAGTTGTATTACATATTGTATCGAACAATTCAAAAAGACATCACACCACCGTTGAAAAACCGGTCGATAACAACGAACGCCTTTTCTAGGAATTAGAACACCATGGGCGTGCGGAATTTCTTTTACAATACCTATTTATATTTTGGACAGGAAGACTATTTTATGTTTTTGGCTCTGAATAGTTTTCTTAAGAATTTTAAAACCTTCCTTAGCTCTTTTGGGATATTCCATGCATATCTTAGAAGTTCATTTTGTTTAAACCTAAAACAAATTAAGTACAAAAAAAGAAAATTTAAACAATACACAAAATTAGTCTTTTAGATTAGTTAAAAAAAAGTGTCAACAAAAAAATGGCTATGCCTTTTTTCTTAAACATTCTTTTTGAAAGAAACTTAAGTTTCTCTACTTACTTGCTGTTTTATTATTTTAGTAGCAGATGATAATAGTGTAGAAGTAGTGACAGGATTGATTATTATACTTCTTTCGTCGAAATTGAATTTTTATTTAATATTTTCCTCCCCTGAGGTCTGTAATAAAAATGTTCATTAGCATGAAAAGTTATTCAGGCGGTCACTTGTTGAATTCCTATATTTTGGAACCATGTATTTCTTTCTCATATCAAGAAAAGGAAACCTAAAAAAAAATAACAATAAACTTTACAAAGATGTGATAATAAAATAATAATAAGTAATTAACCTTTACTATAATCATTATGAAACGGATGAAGACGAACTTAGCTAAAGTTTACTTGCTCTTAATTTTAATTTTTCGATAAGAAAATAAGAAAGTTTAATTGCAAATTAAAGGTGATTGCCTAATGGTGCGCGGTGCGCCTCTGATAATTAGGTTGTGTCTGTACTTACTTATGATATTATCTTGAAGAAGCATTTTCAACAGGCCTTTTACACATAAAGCATATTTTCACCATATTATTAGAGATAATAAATGTTAAATATACATTTACAACCCTTACAACGTTATAAATAATAATATTTTCCGTAAAATACAAATAAGAAATTGACATGTGTCAGAACTGGCGCTGTCCACTCGCTGTCAAACTTGGCAACGCTGATTAAATAAGCCAATTACAAAAGAGGTATTTTCCCCCTCGGGGGGAGTAGATGATGCTAACAAAATTTAGCGCGGGGAAAGGGGGAAGACTCCCTTTAGTAGTAATTGCTCGGAGTTAGAGATGACTCCTTGATTTTATGTTTTTTTGGATCTTTTGATTTGAAATATTTTATTAAAAGTAAACATATTTTGTTGATTAAAACATAAATAATAAACATCACTGCTCTATATTATATAGATAGTAGACAATGACGATACGTAACAAGTATGTTTTATAATATAATGTATTATTGACGCATAGATAAAGATCCTGCCCACCAACTATAAATGCAGTGTGAAGAATAAACGTCAAAAATGTAGTACATTACAAAATTAGGTTTATAACGTCGACAAGAAATGATGTATAGTTTCCAACTTCCAAAAACTTACAACGAGGTATGTTTCTAGTCGTTCCATCCCGACCAAACTTTATATCCTCTAAAATTTTTGATGCCGCACATGTACATGTACAGCGCTCATAAACTTTGTTTTAAAAAGTTGTAAAAGGCGAAGTTTTATTATCCTATTTAATGCAATCCTCTAAGAATATCCATTTGAAAATTATAACCGTTAAAATGTCTTTGTTACAGTTAGTTTTTTTTTTTACTTTATTAACTGCTACAACCACGTCTAGTGTTTGTGAATAAAATATGTACAATATTGGATATTTTCGTATTTCTGCTTTACATACATATTAAATATCTGTTTTTATTGCATAAGGTTAAAGAATAGTATAATGATTGGTGGATGTAAATATTTATGTTATGATTTGATTTGAGATTAGCAATATTTACACATTTCAAACTAGCAGAGTTACAATCTTTTA